AAAATTGAAAACAGACTTGCAATCTGTGAAAAATTCTTCACAGGATAGGTTAGGTCCCATTTCAAGACGCCATCCTGACCCCGTGTGGTTCGCTTGGGAGGGGTTTTCTTTCTCATTGCCATCGTAGACTTTTGACACCGTTGTTCATCGGTCATGTTTTTGACGTTTTAGGCGTTTTTTGTGCTTTTTAAGTTTCGGGACGGAACCTAGCTAATTCGATAGAGAAAACAAAATTTTGAGCATGATACAGTTTTCAAAAATTGCTGATTCAAAAAGATGTTGTAGAAAATCTAATCTCGCCGTTTTTGCTAGCTTTCGTGTCCATTTCCTCCGTTCACGTCATTTTTGGGGCTCCGCCAACACAAACCCCCCAGGTTGCAGTGGCCTTTGGTCGTGCGCTCAAAAACTCCCTGCAAAGGTCCGGCTACCGGGATAATAATAATCAGTATAATTAAATCATTTTTTCTAAAACACCTTTTTCGTTCAGCTTTTTTTAAAACCGCTTCCGGCTCAGAATTTTTTTCTTTATAGAACCATGGGGGAAAAATCGGCCCCAACCGCGAAACTCTAGGATCGAAATAGATCCAAGCTTTCTTTTTTTTGTCAAATGCTTTCAAGGATTTTCGCTCACGAAATGAAAAGAAAAACGAAAATTATAGATATCTCTTTACAGAAAGCCTGGAAATCGCGGCAGCAGCAGCCCGACGAGCCAGAGAAAAAAACCAACTTTGTTCTTGAAGAAGTTCCTCGGTCGTTTGCTGGCTTGACGGAGCGTCTTCGCGCAAAGTTCAGCAGTCCCGATTGTCTTTTCGCGGACAAGGAAAAAGTAAGGATTTCAACTCGAATCCTTAAAAATGAAAATGGAAGTGATAGTTTGGCTTGAAGGACTCGTAGAGGGAGTTGTTGAAGCAAAAACCGGCTAATCGCCGCCGGCTGGGTTTGAAATTGCGTCACTAAAGGATAGAACGCATCGCAACAAAACATCGCATTTTCACATCTGCGCATCTCCGTACCGCGAAAATTGCGGCGCGACCTTGCGGTTGTTCTACGTCAATAATTCGAAAAAATCTTTAAAAAATCGTTTCTGCGTTTGCCACTTTGCATGCTACTTTCTTCGCTACAGCCCGTATTTTATATAACCGGGGGCAAATTTGGCATTTTTCGCCTATATTTTACACTATTCCGGGCTAGAATTAAAATGCTTCGTGTATTTTTTTTGACGCTCTATCGAATGGCGTTGGACAAATCATGTGAAAATGACGAAAATGTCACAAGCTAGGCTTCCACTCCAGGTTCATGGGTGGAAATCACGTTTTTAAACCACTACGCCACTCGGCATGCGGACACGCCTCTTTGGGAAAGGCTCATAAGGGAGCGCGTCCAAAGCACCGCAAAAATTAAAACGCTCATACCTTTGTTGTATTAAGCGTTTAGCAGATACTGGTTGCAGATTCGGAATCCCCGTCACAGACTGTACCAGACCCATATCTTTGCTAAGCGATTTGCTGGGTTTTTTGTTTACACTTCCCCAGTTAGGAATAGTTCAAAACAATTTCAAAACGCATCCGCTATGTACGAAAAAAAATTGAGACTTGAGTGGAAAAAGCCTTCCCCCGGCGGGAGTGGGCGCAAGCGAAAAAGGGCAGAAATGCGCGAATAGGCGGCTGAGGAGGGTCCTAGACTCTTGCCGAGCCCGGATTTGTGATAAACGCGGTAGAAAGTCGCGTTTGCGACAAAAGTCACTCAATTGCGAGGGAAAGTGCCGGCAACTTCTTCCGCTCAGCCACTGGAAAAAGGCTTCGTGCCACCCGGGGCCTAGTCGCTGCGGCTGGGTGCGCTCTCGTACAAGGTTTCGAAATCGGGTTGCCCGAGGGGCGCGTAGCGCTCCGCAGTCGCGTAGGGGGGGGGGGAAGGGCAGTGGGGGCAGGCTGTTTTTATTCTTTTTATTCATTTTTAAGCCTGCGGCGCTCAAATGTCGCAAATTGTTGTTGCTGCCCTCCTCCGAAATGCCGCTGCCCCCCTTCCCCGAAACTTGGACTCAGCTACGCCCCTGGCGCTCCGGGTGCGGCTCCGGTTAATCTTCACACAAGTACAATGGCTACAAACAAAATTCGCGACGAAGGCTGAATTTAAAATGTTGCAGCCGTACTACAACCCGGACGCCGATGATATTTGGTGTTTATGCGACGGCGTCCTGCGTTTTTTGAGGCGGGAGAAAGGTGTGGCCAGGCCGAAGGGGCGGACGATTGTCGTCGGCGACCTCGATGGAAATGTGAGCATTTTTTTTTGTTTGTTCAGCACTTGCTAGGGAAGTGCACCAATTTAACATGAGCTTTCTTTTCCTAAATAAGTGGGTCTGAAAGAGGGCAAAGCCTAATAGCAAAAAACTGTTGAACTTTGGTAAATGCAAAATAGAAAGTTACAGCAAAAAAAAACAAAATTTCCGCATGACGAGGGAATCCAACCCCTGACTATTCGCTTCAGAAACTATTAGGCTGTACAAAAAGTCCTGTCAGTTTTGGGCTTGGGTCGGCTTTTTCACGAGAAATTTTGGTAAGAGTTTACTCGACCCGCCACAGCCATATTTTCGCTATTTTTTTCGGGATTTTCTGAACGCCATAGAGCCTGGAATAATATAGGAGTCTAACCGAATTTTGTTATCACGGTTGATTCTAGTATGCCGCCTAAGTAACTGAAATGCATTTTGATCAGAACGGCAATTAGGAAAGTACGCCCGGTACATCCGTTTCGAAATACATGGTAGCTGGGCAGCTACGCAGGGAAACACCTACTCTTTCTATTCAGCGGGCACCGGGTGCACCGGGTGTTTTTACAAATTGCCATCAGAACCGTAAAAAATAGCTTTTCAGGATTCGAAATTCCAGTACTGTACAGACCCACTTCGAATTCGAATTCCAGGAACGATTTAGTACTTAGCCGGTATACGCGTCCTCATAAGAGCAAATGAAAAATGAGGCAAAAGTTTCAAGGCTCATCACTTTTTTCTCCGTTGCATTTAGCAAATTCTCATTCGATATTCGGAATTCCCTTCGCCGACCCTATCAGACCCACTTAGTACTGAAGCGAAAGCTCACATGAAGTTGGTGCATTTCAATGGTCAGCGTGTCCTTTTTGGCGCCAACTATCCATTTTGTTGCCAGTTGAGCGAGCTTTGGCGTATCATCCATGCTTGGCTGTTGGATGTGGTTGACGGAGGGCCCGGCCAAAAGTAGCACTTTAATGGCTTCTATGGATGTCATGTTCTTCAGCATCATTTTCCTCGGCAACATCATCGGTGGTCGTGGCAACCATCAACTTGAATGCTTGCTCATGATTTTGACCTACAAAGCACTCTACCCATTCCAGGTATGGGTTTTTGGAGCATTTTTGCATTATTTCCATAGAAAAACGGCTCTGGTTCGTTAGCGGGTTGTTTTTACAAAATATTTTGTCGATGGTTTTTAACGTTATTCTTTCCCGCTGCGAGGTCAGTCGAGAGGATTTCCGATGAGAATCCCGAAAATCTGTTTCCCGAAAATCTGATTACCGAAAATCTGAATCCCGAAAAATCTGAATCCCGAAAATCTGATTCCCGAAAATCCGATTCCCGAAAAATCTGAATCCCGAAAAATCCGTTTTCCGAAAATTCGAGTCCCGAAAATCTGAATCCCGAAAAATCCGAGAACCGAGAATCCAAACCCCGAAAGACCGCGCCCTGAAAAGCCAAATTGGAAGAAAACTAAGTTAAAAATTAACTTTATTGAATGGCCTATAGGCAGAGGGGGTGCCTAGAGAGCAGGGCGGGCGCTGAGGCGCAGATTGCCCCGGTCTGAATCCTCCCCCCGCCTATTTGAATTGTCCCAGTTTTTTTTCAGTTCACAAACCGCAGATTCTTCAGCAGATTTTTCGGGAAACAGATTTTCGGGAAACGAATTTTTCGGGAACCGGATTTTCGGGATTCGGATTTTCGGGATTCAGATTTTTCGGGAATTCTATTTTCGGGAATCGGATTTTCGGGAAACGGATTTTCGGGAATCAGATTTTCGGAAGTATAAGCGAAGCCCGTCGAGAGTCAGTATGATTAGTTTCTTATGGCGCAGCAATTCCGTAATAAAGAGTGAAAGTGCGAGGACGACGATCAACTATAATAATTTTCTTGACGCGTCCGTCTGTCCGTCTGTGTGAAGCCGAATTCAACTCGAAGGGGAAAGGAGCTAGAGCTTAGCTCTCTTCGGATTCGGATAGAGCGTGCTCGGAAACCCCCAAACTGATAAAAAAATTATGAAAAAGTTTTAATTTAAATTATTAAAATTAACTTTGAAAGTTTTTCCCTTAGTAAAAGGGGAGGGGATGGAGGTTGGGGTGATTTTGTACATAGTGAGCCAGGTGGCGTGCGTTCCCTGGATGAAAATTTTCACGGGAGCCATTTCATTTCTATTTTTCTCCCACGTATCCGGTCGGTCGTTATTTTAGTTTTTTAAGGGGCATTCGCCTAGGGGAGGTATCTAAAGCCATCAGGAAGGTATTTAGGTAGTTTTTGAAGGGGGTTTCAGCCATGGGGGGTATCTGAAGCCATGAGCAAGGTATTTAGGTAGTTTTTGAAGGGGTTTCAGCCATGTGGGGTATCTGAAGCCATCAGGAGGGTATTTAGGTAGTTTTTGAAGGGGGTTTCAGCCATGGGGGTATCTGAAGCCATCAGCAAGGTATTTAGGTAGTTTTTGAAGGGGTTTCAGCCATGTGGGGTATCTGAAGCCATCAGGGGGTATTTAGGTAGTTTTTGAAGGGGGTTTCAGCCATGGGGGGTATCTGAAGCCATCAGGAGGGTATTTAGGTAGTTTTTGAAGGGGGTTTCAGCCATGGGGGGTATCTGAAGCCATCAGGAGGGTATTTAGGTAGTTTTTGAAGGGGGTTTCAGCCATGGGGGGTATCTGAAGCCATCAGCAAGGTATTTAGGTAGTTTTTGAAGGGGGTTTCGCCATGGGGGGGTATCTGAAGCCATCAGGAGGGTATTTAGGTAGTTTTTGAAGGGGATTTCGGCTAGGGGAGCAATCTGAAGCCATCAGGAAGGTATTTAGGTAGTTTTTTAAGGGGATTTCAGCCATGGGGGTATCTGCAGCCATCAGGAAGGCATTTAGGTAGTTTTTGAACGAGATTTCGGCTATGGGGGGTATTGATGGAGGTGGGAAAGGATGTGGTGGAGTGAGACATTTAGGGTAGTCCGAAGGCCAGATGGTTGCAGTCGCGAAGCGACTGTAACCATCTGGTTCAACCCTAGTGAAACAGCCAAAAAATAATAAAAAAAGACTTTTAAACTTTCGAAGCTTAACCGATATTTGGAAAAGCATAAAAGTCGACCGTAGGGTTGGTATATGAGGAAACCGGTTTCCGATCGCTCGGATTGAAAGCAATGCTTGGATTGACCGGATTGTATTGAAACTAGCCGCTTACCAGCGGCTTTGCCGCTGCAAGCGGCTGGACTTCGGGCTACCCCCTGTGCGCTCCCTCCACTTCGCCGAAACGCGCGCGACCTGGCTCACTATGTCCCCCACTCCTTTTACTAAGGAAAACTTTCAAAGTTAAATTTATTAATTTAAACGAAAACTTTTTCATAATTTTTTATCAGTTTGGGGTTTCTGACGGCGCTCTATCCGAATCCGAAGAGGCCTAAGCTCTAGCTCCTTTCCCCTTCGAGGTGAATCCGGGACATGACGGACAGAAAGACAGCTCAAGAAAATTATTATAGTAGATCGGTTTTTCCATTGCATCCGATTGATCGATTCTGCATAAAAACCGGTTTGAATCGAATCCGATTTGATCGGTTCTTGAAAAATCGGTTTTTACTTCGAAACCGATCGATCGTTTCGGAAAAAAATCGGATTATAGGCGGGAAACCGAGCGTAAATGAACCGATTTATGCAGAATTTTGTGGTGGCCCCCCCGCCCCGTCCTAAATCCCCCCTTGCCTATTGAACCGCCGCCGGACCACCACAATTCTGTCCGCCAATTAAGGTTTGAGAACGAGAACGGAGTGTACCTTTAAGGTAAGCGACATTTTTGACAAAACAATGTCCCCCCGCTAACGAACCAGGACCAAAAAACTTTATTTGCCGTTTACCCGAATTTTGGCCAAATTTTTAGTATTAAACAATCCAAAAAAACAAAACTGAGTTTGGCAAGACCGTTTTTTCGTTGGTGAGTTGGTGAGTATGAGTATCATTTAGGTGTTCATCGTCCGTGGTAATCATGAAGACAACGACGACTACACTACTTTCCAAGCCGATGTTATTAAGCGCGGGTACCGCGAAGCGCAAACGCAAGAAGAAACCCAAGAAAACACAGAAGAACAAAAGCGAAGAAAAGCCGACGCGATCGATTGGATATTTGGGGTCTTTGACAGACTGCCTGTCGTTGGGCTGATTGATGGCCGAATTCTCTGCATGCACGGCATGATATGTACGTTGTATTCGATTAAAAACCGCTCGGTCGCTAGCTTAAGGGCCAGTTGGCTTTTAGTGTCTTTTCAAAAAGCAATCCGGGCTGAGGAAGCGCTTCCCGGCTTTTCCACCTTGACCCCGTCTAACCGTCCAATAACCGTCCAAGATTTGCACATTTCCGTCCGAATCCCGCGTGAAAAATAAAAAAAAATCACCGCCCTGTCCCCCATATACAGGGTGTACCAAAAGAAAGCACGACCCTCTAGCGGCGCGCAGACGTATCCGATTCTCGCCGTTTAGGTATCTATCGAAAGCTCTCGAAAAGGCGAGAAAACAAGGAGAGTTCATTTTCTTGATTATGTATTTTTATTGGCGAATTTTACCTCCAAAATCCATGCAAACGGCAGATTTACGCGAGATCCGCATGCTAATGGCGAAATTCCCTATTGAAAAGCGACCTGTTTTTTAGAAAAACGCTGATCATCGGACGAATCAGAAGAAGTCTTAGAAAATGAAGCCCGCTTGTTTTCTCGCCTTTTCGCGGGCTTTCGAATGGTATAAAAATCGTCCTGATCTGAGCTTCCCACGGACCGCTAGAGGGGGTGATTTTTTGGGACACCCAGTATAGGCTTCCCCACTTGCGGCGTATGCAATCTGCCATCTAACAACGTGTTTGTTTGTGATCTTACAAAAACTAATTTTAGTAGCGATAACAGCCAATTTTCCTTTATTTGATATGGGTTCATTCATCTTGGGGGCCATGACGCATCCAATCCTTTAATCCCCTGGCGGTGCGGCTTGGGTCCCCTACGCTTTCGAGACCGTCCGGAAATTTTAATCCTCTAACGGGACGGTTCTAGGCCCATACAGGTTCGAACCCGTCGTGGGGCTGAGATCTGCGCAAACCCGACCGTCCGTTCCGCGCTACAACAAATGACGCTTGTCACGCAGCGAGGACGGACGGCGGGCGGGCGAGCGGGCTCACGGACATTAGAAATTTATATATAAGTGATGGTATATATCCACAATCCCCAAAAACTGTTTCGTTTTCTGCTAGTATGCAAAATTTCATGGCCCGCCGGGTTTCGATATATAGGCCTCACCCGGGCGCAGGTCAGTCACCAGAAAAGTAGCTTTACCGAAAGTCACTTTACCGGGCGCCGTTTTACCGAAAAGTGGTTCTACCGAAAATAGCTAATTGAATAAGAATAAAGTTAATGAACAAATCGGTGTAAATCCCTGAATGTTCCGGTTAAAATAATCTCCGACAGTATTCTTCCGATGAAACGATATTGGTATGCCAGGAAAGAGAGTTAACGAGTTAACGATTTTCGGGAGGTTTTTCGGTAAAACGACTGTTCGGTAACACGACTTTTCGGTAAAATGACCTTTCGATAGAATGACTTTCCGTAAAGTGGTTTTCGGTACGAAAAATTTCGGTAGTGTGACCGGGAATCGCCCCACCCTGTAGGATCCATACGGCTTCCTTCGAGCCCACTTACCGATATTGGTTCTAGCGATGGAGCTGACCAAAGAGATGCTTCAAGTTGGTTGGGATCCGAAGCTGAAGGCTTACGATACCATGAGCAAGCATCTGCGTTGGAACGATCCATCAGAAAAAGTAGAATTGTAAGTTGTTAAAGAAAGTAGAAGTAAAATTAAGTAGTAAAAAAATAGTAGTAGTAAGTAGTACAAGGAAGAATTGTTATCTACGCTTTGGCTGTTTTTATCGTGATGCGAAAATATGATGATTGATGAAAGCTGGGAGTTGTTCATGGTTCGAAGCTCCATCAAATTAGATAATTGGGTAAGGGCCAAAAAAGAGCCGCGTGGGGGACCGCCTCAGACCAAAATGGATGAACGGGCGTTTAGTTACGAGCCCAATCCCACGCGAAAACACGGCATGTTCTGGGCCCGAAGGGCATCAAAGAAGCCATGGATCGGCTCGACGTCGAATTCGTCCTCCGAAGCCACCAGGTATGAGTGACGGAAAAATACCGCTTTTCTCGCGGATCTCGCGAGATCGGGGCTTCTCTATTTAACGAAAAACGGTTCTTGAGCAAAAACATCCGCTGTTTGTTATGTTTCATAAAGGGTGCGTCAGGAAACTTTTGGTTAGAACCTTTTTAGCACCTACTACATCGTCCATCTCATACGAACTTTTTCCTAGATGATGACAAATGGTGTGCGCCGATTTGCCAACATGCCGGTGGCCACCGTCTTCTCATCGTCGTTCCACGGAGACAAGGTAATTTCCGATGTGGAAACTTCCAGCTAGTCCAGTCTTAAAAAATTTTTGAGCGAGAAACGCCACTTTTGCGTCATTTTCGCTTTTATACTTTCTGAATTCAGTGTTCTTACACTTAGTGAATGGTATTATAGAATCGCCGTGTTCCATTGTACAAAGCTGGAAATTACTCTTTTCAAGTTTCGCTTTAGTTTTAAAGTTATAAGCCTTAGAAGTTTTTGCCGTATACATTTTTGAGTCGATAGGAGTCCCGCGTTGCTTAGGGACTTCATGCCGCTAATCTTGGGCCTGTACGGCTCTTCGCAGTGCAAATCAAGAAAGCATCATTTTAGAAAAACCTGGGCGCCGTTCTCTTCGTCGATCCGCAGCAAAATGGCATCGCGCCGATCTTCATCGTCAGTATGGACGACAAGATCGAAAGTGCGTAGGGTTTATAGATAGCGGGGCAAACCATCCTTTCCCGATGTATCCGTGTTGTTCCAGCGCAAGAGGAATTCGACGAGAAGTTGCGTGAGGGATGGAAGGTTGACGATTATTCGACGCCGCCTGAGGTGCGTTATCGGCTAGCTAAGCAAGGCTTGTTATAAACGTGATGTTATTTTTGCAGAGTGCCACGGTGAGGGGAAAGCCGCAAGCGCAGAAGGACGGAACGAAATGAGAGACCAACCAACACTCGACCACGCCACCAACTACACTGATTGATCAAGAAAAAATTACGGATCAACACCGCCGATTTTGTATTTGCTATATATTTTCCTACATGGCCAATGCCATCGAACGTTTTCTGGGATAAATGGTGAAAAAAAATCGGTTCTGTACTGGTAGATGGTATCCGTACCGCGGGAAGGTATCCGTGCCTGTAGAGGGTATCAATGCCGGGAGAAGGTACGAATGGCGGTAGAAGCTATCCGTGCCGGGAGAAGGTATCGATGTCGGCGGAAGGTATCCGTGCCTCTATTTCAGCACACTGCCGGGAGAAGGTATCAATCGATGGAAAGTTTTATTTTTGCAAGTGAAGGTGTCAAATGGTGAAATGCGGTACTGTTGTCGTCCCTGCCCCCCCACGAAAACTGGGCTCCCGTACGGGCCTGATGTAATGGTTTGTAAAACGAGGCTTTTCGAGAAACACATGGTTTTGAAGATCGATGCAAACCCGCAGTTTGAAGGGCTTTCGAATGGTGCAACTATCAGTCCGTTCCGAGCTCCCGCCTCCTACGGACCTGTATCTTGGGAAGAACACGAATATTTATGTTATATTTTATTTTGCGGTTGCGTCAACCGTGGTGCTTCGCATTCGTGTCAATCCATTCAAAGCTGGTCCTTTACTGTCTCAAAAGACCGGATCACCTGAAATGAACTTCTCGAAAAAAACGACGGCCATATCATGGAAAACTTCGATTTACATCCAGAGAATCAGAATTTATTGCGGAAAAATTAGAATCTATTAGCATTCGAAACTCAAGCACGAATTCGGAGAAACCAATTTCATTTCACTCGGCACTCCTGAATTTCGGCCTCGACGACTCAACCGTCGATGAGAGATGGTCATCGGTCCCTGACGGACACGATGCTGATCGTCCACTTACTGATTATCGCCTGCTTCAGCAACAGCAGCGCCAATCCGTAAGCTTCTTGGATAGTTTCTAGACGTTTAATTTTTTTCCTGGTTTCCACTTATGCTTTACATTTCTACTTCAATTGTTCCAGTGATGGAAATATTCGGCAGCCGTCAAGCGCCACTTTCGTCCTCAATGACTCCTTGGCTACCCTGTTCAGCCACAACAACCACCGGACCCGACGTGATGAAGAAATCCAAAATGTTTGCAAAGCTACCTGATTTTGAATGGTTAATTTAGTGCTTGGCGCATCGTCATTTTCTTTGTTACGCCTACGAACATCTGGCGAATGGGGGAATGGAGATGCCCGAATGGCTGAAGGTTCTATGTCCTGCCTGCAAAGCCCCAATCTGCACAGCGTCTAACATTGCGCCGGAAGGAGATGAAAGGCTGGGTGTGACGATGGCCTGTCAACCAAAGTTTTGTGTGGGTAAAAGGACAGCCTCTGTATTTCACTTTGTCAGCCATGCTAGTCGGAAACCAACGTAGCCATTTATAGACGGCCGAATACAAGGAAGAATCCGGGGCGCCAGATTGCATCCTGCCCGTAACAATTAACGATGGGAAAGGTATCCTACTATATATAAAAATAGTGTTGGTGTGAGTGCTACTTTGCATGCAATTTTCGTCTGCCTGTCCGGAGGATATCACGCTAAGGGATAATTTTGATGGTATGTATGATACGTCATTAGATGCGTACTGGCCCTGAGATGGCTGCACACCTATGTATCAGATATTACAAAATGCGCTATTTTCGACATTAAATTTTAGTACTTGTAAAAATTTCGGGAACGATCTTTGTTCGAAAACAAAATCATACCTCAGGAGGTTGATATAGCCTTTATAATGGGGCTGGGACCGCGTTTTGCATTTTCCCATATCAAAATTAATAACATACGGTCACTCTTTAAAGGTACATTTCGCTCTCGTTTGGAAATCCTGATCAGCAGCGAGAATTTGGTAAGTTTGGTAATGTATGCATTTTGATCAGAAAAAACCAAATTCCCGCCACTGACCGGGGCTTCAGAACGAGAGCGGAATGTATCTATAATTCGTGATCCCCAGAACCTAACTATCCTACTATCAGGTTGGAAAGAAAGTAATGGCACAAAATGTTTGAACCGCTGGAAAAACACACAAGAACGGCCGACTTGAAAGTTTGGTATATGGTTTGGTAGATCTTCGGATGCTCTATCACAATACCACCCTCAAAGCGCACAAATACTGACGTACCCTAAAATACAAACCTCAGAAGTTTTGCAGAAAATTAGGTGAAAGCTTCCAAGCGAGATATCTCTGCATACATACATTTGCATACAACACCTATAACACCAATCGATAGCCCTCGAGGAGTAGATGCCGATAGATGTTGAGATCATCGAAATCGGACACTGTATATTAAAATTAGATTTTTGTAAAAATAATGGGCACCGTCTCTGGCTAGGAGAGAATTTGCATCAGCCGGAATTCGGGATAGCTTATAAAAAGGGAATGAATGCTAAATTTTTTTGTTAGATGGGCAAGAATTTGGAAAATAAAGTACCTTAATAGTTCCGGGACGGGGCCAGGGTTAAAAACCGCGAAGCGGTTTTCCAATCCTGGTTTATGGATAAAGTCCTATTCCCCTTCAATCTGTGCACCCGGGAAATGCTGGCATCTAGAGAATGCGAAGAGAAGACATGGTGGGTCCATGTTCTACCTCGAATAAACCATATAGGAGCATCAAGTCATATGCGACAGTGGGAGTTTCTTTAACCAACCAATACTTCGTGCAATGTGACGCCGGCTTCACAGTTCCCGAGTTGGTTTTTTTTGCTTTGGCAGAGCCACAAAGTATTAAGTATATTAGAGGGGGGGGGCTATATTAAGTATATTAGAGGCAATACCGTATTTGATTTCTATGCCAACCTGGATTCATAGTAAAACAGTCGGAACACCAAAGTAACAGAAGTAGTAACAGAACCAGAGTCCGCACCAATCTTGCGAAACGGATTCGGAATACACGGAACATTTTGCACAAGATAGACTTGGCCCCGTTCCAAAAAGCCACCCGAAGTAAAAACGCTTAAAGCAGTCACCTGCATATCTAAAAAGGAACATTGGGGTTTAGAGTGATCATCGAAGCGGTTGCGAAATCAAAGTCGCAAGACAAACCTCCCGCAAGTACCTGCATCCCGAGTCTCCAGAAGGCAGCTGGATACGCAGTTGATGACCTTTCACCATTCACCAAATACCCTTACGATGTGCTCAACTTCAAGGACATTACGGTAACATGGTTTTCTCGGTGCACGCGGCTGGATGTAGCCCAGCAGATCAACCCCGTGAAGTGGGAAACAGTTTTGAGTTGCGTTTTCAGTACTGCGCCAAAGGGGGACGACCTCAAGGCGGGGACTGTGCACCACTACCAATCTGCGGCAAGAATGGCAAAAAACCGTATTAATGCAGAGCACCGGTCAAACTCGTGTTTTTAGCATTTCTCAATTCCCGGATGAGTTTGCAACTGCACCGGACTGCGAAAAGCCTTGTGAATACAAATTCGGCGCCGCCCCATACGAGGACTGCGTCTTTCTGGATATCTCTAATCCAGGAGGAGCCAGTCCATACTTCACAGCTCGGCGCGCACTGGTCGGTTGTATTTGAAGAATCATTTAAAGGGAAGATCTACTTGAACAGCCTGTTTTTCATTTTCAGTCCGGTCCGTACGCCACATTCATGGATGAAATGGAGAACCTGCTGCTTGGTGCCGTGAAAAGCAGTGAGGGATCAACGGCGGCTCCGAATCCGTCGGATACTTCGGACACGGCAACAAATAACCCCACAGAGGAAGGACCGGAAAATATATCTTCTCTTCATCATAAACGGGAGGTACAAATTTGAACATGGTATTTCTTTTTATACGCCGTATTTTCATCTTTTCTTGGTTTTCGATTCCAGGCTCGCTTAGCTATCTCTTTCAGGTCTTGCCGTTCTTCTCGCAAGATGAGAAAAAGGGTCGTGTTCGCCGCCAAGATGACATCCCGGTGAAGATTCAATACCCACGATGCATCAATGTTACCGGATTGGCGGTAACTTCACAACGTCTGCACATGAAAATAGTACCATTTTAGAAAGAGGATCTGCAGAGGGTCAAGGACGACCAGTTTCTGAACTGCGACACGAACATCTTTGTCCAGTTCCGAAACGGCAACACCAGCGGACTGGCCATCGATCCGCCGCCATGCGAGGGTGTCAATGACACTGTAGGATGTTTTCTGATCGGGGTGATGATCCCGTGGGGTTGAATATCTTTGACAACGAATTATTTCCAGAAAATCTGCACGCATCGCCATGGAGTCCCAACGGAAACGACCCCCATCCCTCTTGCCACGAAAGCTGTCGCTCTATCGAGTGAAACGCTGATCGGAATTGGGGCTGGTCAGACACATTTTTTTCATACTTTTGATACCTTTCTTCAGGTGTCGGCGGTGTCTTGCTGTTGACGGTCTGCGGCGCAGTGTTGGGTTGTATGCTCAAAAAGTAATGGTTCACCGAGTCTTCCAATCCGGACGTTTAGGAAGAAGCCGGTGCAGAAAGATGTGGAAAAAGTGGCTATGGTATCAGCAGCTACCCCCGTCGTGCCGGAGCCTGCCCCCGTGGTTCCACCGTCCATCCCAGCCGTCGTCGAACCACCTCCGGCTCCTCCGAAGCCGTCTCCGATCGTCGTCACACCTGCTCCCGCAGTTCCTCCAGTGATCGCGGCCGTCGTCGATGCAACCCAGCCATCTGCACCACGGCCTCTGGCCGTTGTCGAGGCAACCCAGACCACCGTGCAACCTTCGCCGGCCGTCGCTGAACCCAACGCCGATTACGGATTATCCTTGAAGACGGCACCATCGCAAATCGCCAACCTCGCCGATGGTCAATACAAACTAATCACTACCACGCCTGACGGAGGACACATGGCGCATTTGAAGACCATGGTAATCGGGTTTGAGATTACCGTCGTTTGAGATTCCAACTACTCGTCGCAAAACCCACGTCGCACCGTGGAAAATCCGAATCCGTGGGGGGGGGGGCGGTCGAAAAATGGACCCAAATCAAACTTCTAGTATTTTTCCAGACGGAAGGGAAGCCACGCCCGATCGAACGTCAAGGTGGCCGCTATGACCTGGCTGAGTACGGCTTGGCGCTGAGGATAGATCTCACGAAGCTTGTGAGTTCCGGGCAAGCCTGTAAGGGAGGGGGGGGGCAGAGGGTGAGCAGGTGTATGATTTGATCCGTGGTTGCCCCGTCCATCCCAGCCGCCGTCGAACGAGCTCCCGATATCGGCCGCAGGCCGAAATGCGCCTAAGGGGGGACCCTGAGGATTTTTTCCGAAACTTTTTCTGCCTGTGGCGCTTCTTCCAGCTGTTTTAAAGTCGTCTATCCTTCCGCCATTGCCTCCGAAACCAAAATCGTATTGGTCTCATCTGCACGGTGTCCAAAAATAATTAACCCTCCTTAAAGGGATGAGGACTAGAGTGGCGCTTAATCAAATCAGATTTGAATAAGGTTCAACTTATTGAGATCAAGCCGATTTCAATTGAATTGGAGCCAATCAAATCAAATCGATTTGATTTGCGTCCCGCGAGTTCAAATCAAATAAATTTGTAAATAATCAAATAATTCAGCCGATTTGAATAATTAGAATAAGGCCTCAACGAAATGAACCCAACTCAATAACCAATTCGTGCACCGCTCTTTCCCTATAATTCCTCAGCATTGTTCCTGCGTCCCAGTTAACGATTCCTTATTCATTTTCTATTGTTTTTACCCTTTGGCTTTTCCAAAGAAAAACTGTAGCGCAGGCTTATTCTGACAAATAAAACCGTCCGGCTCAATTTTATACAAAGGACATCAAAACGCCCCATGAATCATTGTAAAGGACACCTAAATATGCGGAAACGGCGCTAGCAAAAATTAAATTACATTTTTTCATTAAAATGTGTGTAGTTTTTATGCTCAGGAATAGTTAAAAACGATTTAGAACCGCATGCGCTATTTATAAAAAAATTTAGGCTTGTGCCGAAAAAAATTGGTTTCCCCCCGCGATTTTCCTTGGTTTCCTAAAGGACCAAATTAATTCAAATCAAATCAATTTGATTGATTTGATTTGAATTAGCAAATCTGGTTGAATAAGCGCCACTCTAATGAGGACGGCATCTGTTGAACCCCCCTCGGGAGTGGGGGGGCAGCTGATGCGGCGACGAGAGAGGGCGCCCAGTAGAGAGGCGCAAAGACCCTCCTTCCCCCCGCGTAACCAATTGAATTATGCCGTCCTTATCTCTTTAAGCGGTCCCGCAAAAGATGAGATCGGGATGATTTTTGTACCATTCGAAAGCCCTCGAAACGGCGAGAAAGCAACCGCCTTCTTACCAAATTTTCTAACCGGCGCTCGATATTAAACGATTTCTTCCTGCGGATAATCGAGATTACATTTTCAGGAATCCTGGAAATCGAAGCAGCCCGAGAGGCCACAGGAAAAGACCCTCTTCACCCTTACCGACAATCATCCCGACGGCAAGACAGTGGCGCTGAAGATCGTCGAGAAGTTGGGCAGTGTAGACTATCTGTCAGAGGACGACATAGAGGTGGGGCCTTCATCACTTCTCTGCGTTGTTGGACAGCACCCCGAGAAACAGGCACCCCGCGCTCCGGGTGTTTTTGGAATCCGATTTGGAATAGAAACGGTCAATGGCCTGGAAAAATAAGCATGCATACCAAAACCCAGAAATAAGAATATGTACTTTACCACAGTAGAACCCCAAAAAGCGTAGCTGAGAGCAGGGCTGTTCACGGACGGGCCGGGCCAGCCCGGGACGGTCCGGACGGGCTGACTACCCAATTTGCATAAAATTAGCGGACGGGCTGGGACGGGCTGGGGAGCGGGCTGGACGGGCCGGGCTGAGCGGGCTGGAGCGGGCTGGGGTTATGCAACTCTGCTATATTAATCATCCCGGGGTGAATTAACACAGAGAAGGCAATGTGATCAGATGTCGCTTTATGCCCTTTGTTTAATAAAGATTTATGGGATGTTTATTGTTTTCAGGTTAGCAGGACTCTCATTTTGGTGTTGTGTGGGGAGAGAACCAAGTTTTATTTCTATTTTTATTTCATTGATCTGTTAAAGATACAGGTGTATTGTTACAATAATTTTAGTAGTTTTTGATTGCTCAAACTAACAACAACAATCGTACAAATTTTTGAAAATTGGCTAATTTAGACTTTTTTGGTAATTTTTCACAGTTTTTGACCAAAAATAAATCAAAAGTTTTCGAAAATTTGATAATTTTTTGCCGCAGGTTTATATGTAGAAACTTTACAATACTATGCAAATCGTTCCTATTTCCCCGCGCTAGGCTCTGGCCCCATCCTTGTATGTAATTAACATGGCAGATTTGCATAACCCCAGCCCGCTCCAGCCCGCTCAGCCCGGCCCGTCCAGCCCGCGCCCCAGCCCGTCCCAGCCCGTCCGCTAATTTTATGCAAATTGGGTCGTCAGCCCGTCCGGCCCGTCCAGCCCCGGACGCCCGCGGGCCGGGCTCGAAATGACCAACCCTGGCTGAGAGTGATAATTTATCGGTTTGGATAATAAGCCACAGTTTTTTTGGAATTGTTGTTTAAAGCTGCAGGCATCCCAAAAATTGATAGTGTGATGATATACAGGGTGTCCCAAAAAAAACCCCCCCCCCTCTAGCGGCGCCCAGACGTGTCCGATTTTCGCCGTTCAGGTATCTATCGAAAGCTCTCGAAAAGGCGAGAAAACAAGGAGGGTTCATTTTCTTTATTATGTATTTTTATTGGCGAATTTTACCTCCAAAATCCATGAAAACGGCAGATTTACGCGAGATCTGCATGCTAATTGCGAAATTCCTATTGAAAAGCTGCCTGTTTTTTAGAAAAACGTTGAATATCGGTCGAATAAGAATAAATCTTAGAAAATGCAGCCCGCTTGTTTTCTCGCCTTTTCGCGGGCTTTCGAACGGTATAAAAATTATCCTGATCTGAGCTTCCCACGGACCGCTAGAGGGGGTGGGGGTTTTTTTGGGACACCCTGTATGGTTTGATAGGTCTTATCGAGCTCTGCCTCGGATATTCCCTTCCGGCCCCAAAATTGAGAGACGCCGAGACAGAGCTTCGCGGAGTGTTGCACAGAACAACGGAAAACCTATTTAGCATGTTGTCTCTGCCTAACGAAATTTGGGTGGGATACCTTTAACACCAATCGATAGCCCTCGAAGAGTAGATGGCCCCGGACACCGGATCACCGAAGTATGGTCCATCCAAATTTGGCAAATTCCTTAGAAATCTTCTCGAAATCTCATTCATTGGGTCAAAAACTACGCGGGGTTCTTTTAAAAATCAAGCGGTCAGCTTTGGCCTTGGTTTGGCAAAAGTAGGCGATTCGGGAAAAGTATGGGATCTCGACTAGCCTTCTTCCCCACGGCCCTGTAAAGCATATAAAAATACGCGCCAGACCAAGGGGAACCATTTTGTGTGTGAGCCTGTACGAAAGGATCGGCCGCCGACGTCGATCGGTGTTACAAAAGTTGCGTCCGTCTGGGGCGCCTTGCGTGTCAACTCATTTCTCGGGCCAAAATCAATGATCTGACTATATATAAAAAATAGTGTCTGTGTGTGTGTGCATTTGCTTGCAACTTCCGTCAGGTGGTCCGGAGGATATCTCGGAAAGGGACGGGTTGTAAGGTATGTATGATACGTCATTTGATGCGTAATTGGCTCGAGAGTAGTGCACACATATTTGATTTCTCAAAAAGTGCTGTTTTCGCCATTATATTCAAGTTTGTATAAACATCCCGGGCACCCCTCTTTGCTATGCATCAATTAGCATACGCCGGAAGTGGGGTTAGCCTAATAAAGGGAGAGAAGAGGTGTTTTTCGCACTTTTTTGTCATCCCGATTCCGGAAGCGCTATGCAAAGCCAAAATAGTCATTGTTCCGAGACGAGGCCAGGGTTGAAAAGCCGCGCAGCGGTTTTTCAACCCTGGTTTAGGCGGAAATTATGTGGTTGAGTATGTGAGAATATGATCTTGCAGCCGAAGTACAACCCGGACGCCGATGAGATACGGAGCTTATGCCTTGCACTCGAGCCGCACCTCATTAAGGAGAAGGCAGTGGCGAGGCCACAGGGACGGACGATTGTCGTCGGGGACATCCACGGAAATGTGGGCATGTGTTCGAGTGTTCGACCACTTCTCACATGTCGCTGTGGGCGTTCGTTACATTTTGTCGTTTAGCTCAACGACCTTTGGCGCATCATCCATGCTTGGCTGTCGGATGTAGTGGGCCAAGGGCCCAAGCAAAAGTATGTAGACTTCGAGGTTCTTTCGAATTATCGGGGGCAGGGGTATCCAGGGGAACTTAACTTTTTTAAAGATCTAAGTTTTTCAATGGGATCTTTCTAAACGGTTTGTTACTGTTTCTAAACGCGAAAACGTTCCAAACTTTGAAAAAATATCAAAAATATCGATTTTGGACCAAAAGTGGCCGATCTTTGACCAAAATTTCGATTTTTTTAAAAGTTTTTCGGATAGTTTTTGAGCTGAAACCAGGGTTGAAAAGCCGCTTCGCGACTTTTCAACCCTGGCCCCGTCCGATCCCTTAATATGCTTCACTCTGAATACGTATCTCGAATTCCGATGAGAAAATGAAAAATGACGCTCTCTACCTGATTATATAGGCGACCGCCACTTCCGGTGTATGTTAATTTTTTTCCTAACAAAGAGGGGTGTCCTATTTTTCAACAAAAACTTAATTTTAATGTCAAAAATAGAACAATTTGCACAATCTGATAAGCGTGCAGTCATCTTGGGGCCATTACGCACCTAATGGCGCAGCAAATATTGCTTAAGGCCCTTCCCCTCTTGAGATAACCTCCGGACAACCTGACGGAAGTTGCATGCAAATGCACACACACAGACACTATTTTTTTATATATAGTAGGATGTGGTTCCATCTCACTAGAAAAACTATTGAAACACTTTCTATTACGTTACTAAGAATTTCTAAACATCCAGAGAGTTTGGCCCCTCCCCCCGATAATGCGAAAGAACCGATTTCGGAGTCCTTTGCTTGGATATCATATTTTTAAGCATCATCTTCCTCGGCGACATTGTCGATCGGGGCGACCGCCAACTCGAATGCTTGATCCTGATTATGGCATACAAGACTCTCTTCCCCGAACAGGTTTTGCTTCTTGGGTCGTTTCGCATTATTGGAAAAGCCGCTTCGCGGTGAAATGTTCGACTTTTTCACAAATTTTCAAAGTTTTTTAGCGTGTTATATTAGTGGAAATAGAGTTATTTTTTACTAACAATCTACTATTTATAAATTTCTAATGTCCGTCCGTTCGCGCGACCGGGAATTCAGCCAAATCCGGCATTCAAATTCCAAATTCAAATGTTTTTTCGGGGGGGGGGGCCAGCGCTGAACCGCCGCGTAGCGGGGGTCAGCGCTGGTACTATACAAAACTAAAATATTTCTGATGAAATCTGGCAATTCCTAGACTTCTACAAAAATGTTCGGTTCCCCTGCCCCCACCCTCCCCGATGATGTAAAAGAGCAAAAAATGGCAAAGTTTTACCTTGCGTGATAGTAAAAAATAGCTTGGAAACCCTTGGCTGTTCATATTTGATTGAAAAATTAGCCCCTAAGAAAAAAGTAGGTTTCCCCTTGATAAACTTAATGCGCAGATACACATATACGATTCTTAAAATATTAATTTGAAAGAACCTCGTTAATTTATATCGCGTATTTTTTATTAAAGGAATGCCGACGGCATAGCCAATCGGTTACGCGGTGAAAAGAAAATGTCTCTGCGCCCCTCTTTTCGAAGTGTTCAGAAACCCATTCAAAGATAAAAGAATTATGAAAAAGTTTTCGTTTAAATAAAAACATTTAACTTGGAAGGAATAATAGAACGAGTGGGGGGCCTTCCGGCCCTCCCGGTAGGCCACGACCCCTTCCCCAGCCCCCTTTCACCAGGCCCCTTCCCGCACCCAGATCACTTTTTTTTCAGTTATTTTAATCCTTTTTAATTATTTTAGTTCATTATTTAAATTCCTTAAAGTATCTAAAGCCATCGGGAAGGGAGGGGAGGGAGCGGATGGGGTGGCCCGAAGTCCAACCGTTTGCACCGGCAAAGCCGCTGTAAGCGGCTGGTCATAAATATTACAGTAATACAGTAAGTATTCAGGTGTTCATCCTTCGTGGAAATCACGAAGAAGGCGAGATTAATATGAAGGATTTCCAACAAGTGATGACTGATCGCGGATACCGGCCGAGCAAAACGCACGACGCAGTGAAAGCAAGGAGGCAAACAAATCCACCACGAAAAGTTGACGCGATCGATGCGATAATGGCCTACTTTGAACGTCTGCCTGTTGTTGGGCTCATTGATGGCCGGATTCTGTGCATGCACGGCATGATATGTATGTTTCATTGGTCGCCAAACAGCTGAACCACTAGCTTAAGAATCCTGAAAAATCAAAAATCATGTTCCGGCCGGGAGTCGAGCCCGAGAGGCACGTTTTGTGGACCTCGGGCGCAAACCAGCCCGAGTTTGAGAAGCCGCAGGAATGTAACTCCTTGGGTCGTCGTAAGCTTTCCTAGGGAACCGATCGTAAAAATTTGGCCAGTTCCGCTGGCTCCCCGACACTTGCTGCGCGACAATTGCGCCCGACACTTGCGGGGCAGCGGATACGCCCGACACTGGCCGCGACGCGCGCCTGGAGCGCCTCGATTTCGAAACCCTATACAAGCACACCCATCCGAAGCGACATGGCCCTTTTCTAGTCGTGCAGCCGGCCTGCATTTCCGCGTAGAACCGAATAATAGGTCGTATAGCCCGAAAAAAACGCGTCTGTATATTCCATCCACTTTCTCTATGAATAGTGGATGTTGATTTTTTTAATTACAGGTTCATAGCAGGGGAAGATGTCAAATTGTATTTTCTGGCCGAAATGCCGACCGTAAATGGTCAGCCAAAATTTGCATCTAATTAGCATCCACTATTCATACGCAAAGTTAATGGAAATGATATGAGAATGATTCCCCTATCATTTTGTCACTTTTGTTTTTCCCTATTTTTATTCAATCGCTTGTAGAACTGTTATCCTGCATGGTAGCGGGATTAAAAGTACACCATACGATGTGAATTTTTTCGGTCTACAATGCCTATTATCCGATTTTACAAGTACATACAAAGGTCTCCAAGAAAACGGCCAAAAACTTCATTCCCCTCCCATTTTGGCACTCACTGTAGTAGCGGTAACTTTCTCTCCAAATTGAGGGACTTCTGTGGCAAACCCGACTTTTTATAGGTTTTATTACCAAATTTGGACGCAACGTATAAACTAATACTTAAACTATTTTTATTTAGTTTACACTAAATTAGTTCGCCACAAGTGTCGCGGTGCCCTTCTGTTGGCCGCCCTGGACTGGTTGATTTGAAACACCCTGTATTGATTTTAGCGATGGAGCTGACCAAAAAGATGCTGCAAGCTGGATGGGACGTGTTGGAGGGGACGTACGCGAACATGAACAGGCATCTGCGATGGAACGATCCATCAGAAAAAGTCGAATTGTAAGTTGAGGTCTGATCAGGATTTTTTGCATAACATTAAATGGCCTTGGTAGGCTGGGAGCGGAGGCGACGCCCACCATGCGCCTCTATGTCAATCGCATCTTTTCGCGTTTAGTTGCGAGGTCAACAACGTTCGACGATACGGCATGGTCCTGGCCCCAAAAACTGTCGCAGCAGCTATGGGCCGGCTTGGTGTCGAATTCGTGCTCCGGGGTCACCAGGTGAACGGAAAATGTGTCTTTGTCTTTTCTTGATCATTTATCATTTAATAATGATGATGACTAGTGGCATGATGATATACAGAATATAGTAGGATACCTGAGGAAATGCGGTGAAATATTCTCGAAATTTAGCACGTTTTGTCTCATTCATCCAATGGAACTTTTTTGTAGAAGATGACAAACGGCGTGCGCAGGTTTGCCAACCTTCCCGTGGCCACCGTCTTTTCGGCGTCATTCTACCAGAAGGTAAGGATGCGTAACACTCGGTTTTACAAGGATACGTTTTTAGTGACAGGCGACGTTCCATACGGGACCAAGCCTATCATCAGAAAGATCTTGCGTTGATCCCGAGCCTATTCTGCGAAACGAGCAGATTCGCAAAGTTACGAAGCTATTCAGTGCGAAAAGGCGAAAATTTGCTGAAATTGGACATTCTTGATCTGATCGTTTCCTAGATTTTAAAAATGGGTTCGGGATTCGCGCAAAATCCTGCACAAGATAGGCTTGGTCCCGTATGGAAACCCGATTGTCACTAAAAACGCCTCCTTGGAATAATTGGAACAAGACTTAATCCTACTATATATAAAAAAGTAGTGTCTGTGTGTGTGTCTGTGGACACTTTGCATAAATGACTCGAAAAAACCGGGTTACCAAGATATCGCGAAGGGGGAAGCGTTTTCGGGCCTAGTCGAAAGATATTTAGGGGTATTCGAGGGCGTAGATTACTGCACGCTTATCAGATTTTTCAGAAAATGACGGTTTATACCTTATTTTAGTGTTTTAAAAACATATGGAAATGCCCTCATTTGCATACGAGACGCTAGGAGGCTCATTTTGGATTTTGTCATGCTCTCACTCGGTCGCGTTTGTGATTATTAGGGTTGAGAGGTTGGCACTAATTCGCTAGAATTATGCAAAGTGCTCAACGTTCGAAGATCCTCGCGCAAAGGCCAGGGGTGAAAAGCCGCGTAGCGGCTTTTCGACCCTGGTTGAGTCTAAAATAAATACCACCAGCCATGCGACGTGCCTCGGATAACGTAAAGGCTATGCATCATTTTAGGAGAACTTTGGCGCCGTACTTTTCGTGGATCCTGACAGAAACGCGATCGTACCGATCTACATCGTCAGCCACGACGACGAGACCACGAGTGCGTGGGGATTCGATAGGGGGGCGGAAAACCGCCTATGATCGTTTAGTTTTGCTTTTGTATTTTAAGTGGACTACCACGGGTAGACTGCTCTCACAAAGGAATGTTCGAGTCGAGTTAATATTGAGAAACTTGGCACACTGATGGAGCTCGATGAGACGAATCGATTCATGTAATCTTTACCAGCAGATACCGAAGACAACCAAGGTTATAAGCGTTTAAAGTTTAGCCAAACTTTTGCAACCGGGATATTAGGTCTCCCCAGTGTACCCTGTTCATCGCCTTGCTTTGGTTTGGGTATTTGTTGCTAAAAGCTACATCAATCGATTCCAGCCCTATCGGTGTGCGAATTTTCTAACACCACCGCGATTCCGAGCTGACACCATCCCATTGTCAGCCAGTTCACTCAAAAACGTTTTCTCGAACTAAAAAGGGGACGTTTTCGAGTGTCCACACAGTTTCAAAATCAGACCGAACCTGTTTTGTGCAAAATTTTTTACTGATCCAAGCACCTTTTTCAGAATCTGCCAAACGATCATGTTTGAAAAAGTTCCGAAGCTTTAACGTTCGAGAAATGCCCAAAGTTGCCCATTTTCGCCGTTTTTTGGGCATCTAGAGCTTCATATCTTTTTTTACTTTGGTCATTTCGCGGATTCTCAACTCAACGCTTTCATTACGAAAAATTCTGCACAAAATAGGCTTGGCTCCACTTCGAAACTCCGTGAAAGCGCGAAAACGCCTCCTCGTGAGGCTATCCGGTTGTTATCCAGTTTACGAAAATTGGATTTCACGTAATAAACCCGACATAAGGCGTGTTTTTGAAAACCTGGATCAATACAGTGTGTGTCAAAACGATAGAGCCACTCTGTTTTTTCGGGTTTTTAAGTGTGTTCCGGCGTGAATTCCTGGAAGCCGAATATACCATCTTGTAGCCCGAAAAATTCTGCATTTTATGGCGTTTTTTTCAATAACGGAAAATCGACAGCTATTTTATTATAGAGTCAAAAGTAAAAACAGGCAAAAATCCGAAGTGTCAAAACGATAGAGCCACACTTTACATCTCATTAACATGAAATGGCATTTTCAAATCTGGCATTCAACTCATAATCTTCAAAAATCTTTATGCAAAAGAGCTGGACAATGGACAATAGCCAATAACAATAAACAAAAAAATAAGCTCTTTGTCCCTCAGTAATCGATAGGCTGGCCGCCGCTCTTGATCAGGGAGTTGATGCGCTTTGGCAGCGACAGAGCGAGCTTCTCGAAGGTGGCCTGGGGGACATTGAGCCAAGCCCGACGAACGGCAATCTCGAGGTCGGCCACGTTGGCGTACTGCTGCCCGTTGCCGTAAACCTCGCGCACAAGAATTCCCCAAACGTTCTCGATCGGATTCATGTCCGGGGAGCAAGCGGGCCATGGCAGCGTGTTGATGTTGCGCTGCTTCAACCACTCCATAGTTTTCCTAAAAAATTTCTGTATTTGAGATGCGAGGGCCCACTTGGATTTATGAATCGACGCGTTGTCCTGCATCAGTGTATAGTTTACGTTCGGGTTTGCTCGTATAAACGGCAGGAGATGCTGCTCGAGAATGTCCAAATAATCCGAAGAATTCATCTTGCAAGTACATCGTGCCAGTGAAGTCGGCCCATCGAAGGAAAAACCACACCAGATCATCAACGAACCACCACCAAAATTTCTGGTACGATGAATTAGTGGAGGCTGCGTCGCGTCGCGCCAATAACGAGTCAATCCGTCGGGACCATCGAGGTTGAACTTCTTCTCATCAGTCCAAATTATCGTCTTCCACTCGTCGCTCCATGTCATATGCTCGTCTGCGAACTTTGCACGTTCGATGATGTGGTGCGGCTTTAGAGCAGGCTCTTTATCCATCTTGGTCCATTTTAGATCGGGTGAAGTGACGATGGCTCGATAAACCGTGCTGTAGGACGCATCTAGGGCGAGCTGCTTCTTTAGTTGGCGGGATCCAATGGTCGAATTTGAGGCCGCCTTCTGGAGAGCGTCGATCTCGCCACCCGTGAGTTTCTTGGGACGTCCGGTCGGCGCACTACTCTTGTATGCATCAGGCTTCTTGAGAAAACGGTCGATGACCTGAGATCTGATAATCTGATGATCGGAATGGATCTCACGTGATGGCTGCGTCCCAGCTTCTTGGCGATGGCGCGTCCGGAGAGTCCAAGGTCGTGGTAAGCAAGAATCTTGCCCATTTCACACTCCGTCAATGCTTTGCCACGACCCATCGAGGTTTGGAAGAAGCCGGGCAGTTGAAATGATTTTTTGAGGGTTCAGCGTTGAAGCTCGACACCTATTTATTTAATCTCCTAAATTGTAATTACAACTTGTAAACTAACCTTTATTGTCCTCCAATGGTAAATTATCAAATTAAATAGATTTTTAACTAAGTCTAGCTTGAAGCCGTTGCACGTTTTTGCATAAAGATTTTTGAAGATTATGAGTTGAATGCCAGATTTGAAAATGCCATTTCATGTTAATGAGATGTAAAGTGTGGCTCTATCGTTTTGACACTTCGGATTTTTGCCTGTTTTTACTTTTGACTCTATAATAAAATAGCTGTCGATTTTCCGTTATTGAAAAAAACGCCATAAAATGCAGAATTTTTCGGGCTACAAGATGGTATATTCGGCTTCCAGGAATTCACGCCGGAACACACTTAAAAACCCGAAAAACAGAGTGGCTCTATCGTTTTGACACACACTGTAGGAGCGCCATGTTGTTTAGGATTATTTTTTTCATTAAATTGCTCGCTTTTGACAAGCCGAATCCAAATCGGTGCTGTTTCAGCGCAAGACGAATTCGATGAAAAGCTGCGTAATGGATGGAAAACCGATGATTATACGCCCGCACCTGATGTGAGCTATCAATTACAGGGTGTCCCAAAAAAACACCCCTCCGGCATTTCGCCGTATTACATCCCAACAGTCCCAAAATTGGACTGGAGGTGTATCAGACCCTAAATAACCACAATCCTGAGTTATAGCCCGATCGCTACAATAGTTTTCGAGTTAACGTCAAAATACGGTTTTTTACGCGGTTCTTAACAGTTTTTTCGGCTCTTTTTGGACTTTGCATCGATTTACATCGACTTCCAGCTTCGAATCCCTAATTGCGCTTAATATCGAGGGTGACTTTGCGTTACAAAAATTGTTGAAATCAACGGTTATTTCACTAATTTTGGTTCTGTTCTATTTCGCGTGGGGGAAAAACTGTGCGGGGGGGGGGGATTTTCTTCGTTTTTTTTTTAATAACTGTTTTATATGATGCTATTTTGAATTATAATTAAAACTCTTTATATATTTTTTCACGCTCTATCGAATGTCATTAAAGAAATTTTTGAAAGTTATCGAAAATGTCGAAAACTAGCTTTCGACTCCACGATTCGATGTGGAAACACCGAATAAACCTTGTTTTTGCTATAACTATTTTATAAAACAATATTTTTAGATGAAATTAAAACTCTGAGTATATTTTTTGATGCTCTATAGAATGACAGGTTCAAAATATCGAAAAACTGGCGAAAATGCCGAAAACAAAGATTCCGGAACCAGTTTAATAGTTTTTTTTTGTTTTTGCTATAACTTTTTTATATTACAATATTTTTAGCTAAAACAAAAACTCTTAGTATATTTTTTGATGCTCTATCGAATGGCGTTGCAAAAATCCCGAGAAAATAGCGAAAAGATGGAAGGTTCCGCGAAGCATATTTCCCCCCCCCCCGCACAGTTTTTTCCCCCACGCGAAATAGAACAGAACCCTAATTTTTATCAAAAAAATCTCTAGGGGTAAAGCAGGCTTGCCGCTTCATTTTCACTTAATATTCGAAGGGTCGATTTTGACGAAAGCCATATGAAAAACGGATAATAAAGTTTATTTTTGTTGTATCTCGAAGCTTATTGTAGCTGGCGGGCTATAAGTCAGGATTGTGGTTATTTAGGGTCTGATACACCTCAGGTCCAAATTTCGGACCGATCGGATGAGATACGGCGAAATGCCGGAGGGGTGCTTTTTTATGGGACACCCTGTAGATGCCCGGGGATTTTTTTGTGGTATACTTGCCTTTTTGCAGGAGGAAGTCACCGCGGATGAAGAACAAAGGACGCAGAGAGGCTAACAGCGAAGAAAGAGCGAAAAACGCTCGGCAACGCTGCTCCCGATACACACTGACTGATTATAAAAAAATTATATACCACACACCGCCCATTTCGTATTCACCATGCATTTTCTTTCCTGTGATTTGTGCTTTCCTCAATAGGCTCGATTGTTTTTGGGATAAATTTTGAAAAACGACAACCGCCAAAGAAATGACGCCGAGCGGAAAATATAGGGTGCCCAACACAAAATCGCACGTCACATGACCGAGATCTGGGACTGGGAGCTGACTGGAAGGCGATATGTCCCGCTGCAGATCGTACCTGAAGCAAAACATCTCCTACGGTAGTACGACTGAAACTTTCGCAAAATGAATAGGAGTCTTAGTGTTTAATGGGGATAGGACTTTCCTTCGGCTTAAAGACCGTCAGAACGATGAAATTCCGTTGTGAGTAAGAACGTTGCGCACCGGGCGCGGGTTCGAACCCGCGATGCTTCGCTCCATAGTCCGACGCGCTAGCCACTATCCCACAGGGCCGCGTGGGGGACGGGAGTCATAGGCGCCCCAAACTCAGAGGGCCTGGCGTCAATACGGGGCACCGAAACAGCCGAGAACGTGATTGAGAGTTGAGAACAGGGAATTCCAAAGTTGAGAGCCTCCCGGCCGCCCTGGGCGTACAAAGGCCTTCGATGTACAGGGCCGTAACTCAATTTTTGGCAGTTGGGAGTCCCCTTTAATAGAAGACGGCTCAAGTCTAGGAAACCCCCCCCCAGCCGCAACTTTTCAGCCATGCGTCCTATTAATGCGCCGAGTAGCTCAAAATGTTCGCCGTGGTCGAATTACTATAGAAAAGTTGTTTCTATACACCAAAAATTGTTAGAAAAATTTTTATAACAATTATAAGTCTGGGTTTTCTTTAATTAATTTTTCCTGGTCTAAAGTAAGTTTTCTTATCTCGGCTATCTTTTGTCCTACAGAGCTGTCAATGGTATCAAAATGTAGCTCTTGCTCTGTAGAATAAGGCTACAGTATATTTGAATCGAAAAAAATAGCGGAAAATAAAAATATTTGAGTTTTAGACTCCTGGTACATTGAAGCACAGCGGCTTAATCTTTTCAACTTTCAAAATATTGTAAAAAAAATTTCTAGCAATTTTTGCCGCAAGAAAACAACTTTTTTATAGTAATTCGACCACGGCGAACATTTTGAGATACTCGGCGCATTGATAGGACGTATGGCTAAAAAGTTACGGCTGGGGGGGGTTTCCTAGACTCTTATCTAGAAGACGGTAACCGGCGTTTTGCAAAAGTGGTGGTGGGCGCATGTGATCTTGGAGAACATTGATTTGCATCCCGAAAATTAAAATTTATTTGCATTGGGAACTCAAGCTCGGGTAAGACTCTAGTTTACCCCCCCAGACGCCCCTTTTCTCTGCGCCCTCTCCCCCAGGCCTACTATCTCTTCGCCTGCGCCCTCTCCCCCAGGCCTACTATCTCGCCTGGGGGTAAACTAGAGTTTAGCCCAAGCTCGGATTTGGAGAAACCATTCATTCCACTCGACACTCCAGACAATTTTGGCCTCGCCTACTCGACCGTCGATGAGACGTCGTCATCGGTTCCTGATGGACAGGATGCTGATCGTTTACTTACTGATTATTGTCTTCTTCAGCACCGGCCATGGCAATGTGTTAGTTTTTGGATGGTTTCCAGAATTTGAAAAGTTTACTACAGCTAAACCCTCCCAAATGGATTGTTTCAGTGACGAAAATATTCCGCCTTCACCAAATGCCGCTCTTCACCACAACGAGGCTTCATCTACTCTCTTCGCCAGCACTCACCACCGGATCAGACGCGCTCAGGTACTTCCCAAGCTTGATTCCATCAAAGCCTTGCTTTAGTGTATCCCGCGCCCATTCCTTTGTTATGCCTACGAACATCTGGCTAGTGAGGGAATCGAGCAACCGTCCTGGCTGAAATCGGAGTGTGAGGCGTGTATCACTCAGAAGTGCGCCTGGGGCATTCTGACGGGGGGCACACCAAGGCCGAAAGTCTATGAAGCATGTATGCCACATTTTTGTGTAAGTGCTTGGTGATTAAAACCCCAATTATATTTGCATCAGCGCCCAACACCCGCTTCGCGGGACTTGGACGCTGATATTCGACTTTTCGATCGCTTGGCTTCGACCAGGGATGAAAAGCCGGGCCCGTCGTATCCCCTGATATTCATCAGACTAGATAATTGCCATGAATTCCGATAACCAAAAAAAAAAAGAAAATCTCTCCCTCTCTTTCTTTATATAGGTTTCCTCAACCGCGCGCAACCTAATTTTTTCTAACAAAGACGAAACCCTAAATTTATTCTCCGATCGAGATGCCGGTCTAGACGAAAATTGCATGCAAAAAAAGTAGCAAACATATAGACAAGATCCTTTATATATCGTAGGATTTCTCGGTCCCGTCGCGCATAAGTACCATAGTCATTTCTAGACACCCCGAATACAAGGACGAATCCGGGGTACCGGATTGCATCCTGCCTGTAACCATCAACGATGGAAAAGGTATGATTTTTATCGTCCATTAATAATTGCTTCTAGATAAAGTCATGTTCCCCTTCAATCTGTGCACTCGGGAAATGCTAGCATCGGGAGAATGCGAAGGAAAGGCATGGTTGGGTCAATTGGTCATTATTGATGGTTATAATCCACTCAGGAGCACGAATCCATACGCGATAACCGGAATGCCATTAACCAACCAGTACTTTGTGCAGTGCGATGCCGGCTTCATAATACCACAGTGAGTTTGTCTCGTTTCTATCTGAACGAATATCCTCACTAGAAATGTGCGCAACCAGCCGGGGACGGGATCTAACGTTCAAAAATTCGAAATGACCGCGTATATCGAAAAATTGCTTTTCACTCAGAGTGATCATCAAAGCAGTTGCGAAACCTGCAACGCCCGAGAGCCCTCCAAAAGCGACTTGCGTCCCGAGTCTCCACGTGGCCGCCGGATACGCCCCTGACGATCTTTCGCCGTTCACCAAATACCCATACGATGTGCCGTTCCTCAAGGACATTAAAGGCCTCTGGAAAGATGGGATTGGTCAAAAAGCAAGAAAGGGCGCACCGAGCGGGGGTCGAACCAGGGATGGTCCGCTCATCAGTCCAACGCGCTACCCCCACACCAAAGGGGCCGGGTGGGTGGGGGCAGCGGAGGGGCTCCAACTGCTCCCCATTACCAATCTGCAACAACAATGGCAAACCACCGTATGTAGTCGTGAAAAGGCACAATTGAATGTATTTTAGAGCCTCTGAATTCCCGGTTGAGTTCAAAACGGCGCCGGACTGTGACCAGCCGTGTCAATACCAATTCGGCGCAACATACGAGGACTGTGTTTTTCTGGATATCTCGAATCCAGGAGACGCCATGCCTTACTTCTCAGCTCGGCGGGCACTGGTCGGTTGCACTGTCGGTAGTTTGATCGGCCTTGGTTGTTTCTGAAAACATCGATCAATTTAAGTCCGGCCCGTACGCCATCTTCGTGGATCAAGCCGAGAATTTGATGCTTGGCGCCGTGACCAGCAGTGAGGGATCAACGGCGGCTCCGAACGCTCCGGAGACGCCGGAAACGACAACAAATAACCCCACAGAGGGAGGACCGGAAAATGTATCTTCTCTTCACCATAAGCCAGAAGTACTAATGATATTAACGTGCTCTTTTCGTATACCATGTGACGTATACCAGGTGCTTCCAGGTTATCGGGGGTCGGTTATTTGGCGGGGGACGGCTGCGAACTTTTTTTCTATAATATCGTGCGGCTCGGCTAATTAAAAGCTGGCCGTTTTTATAGACTTATGCTTGGTTGTGGTGGTTCTGGTTCTGGACTGTTAGCGGGGGAGGAGACGTTAAGAAAAACGTCATAAAACATGTTGAAAAAAATTTTTCTTTTTCGGTCTAACATATATGAAAATGGCTGAAACCGCGCTATAACCCTAGAATTTGTGACTATAGGATAAATCCTACTATATATAAAAAAATAGTGTTTGTGTGTGTGTGTGTGATACTTTGCATGCAGCTTCCGTCACCATGTCCGGAGGATACCTCGATAGGGAATAAATTTTAAGGTATATATGATACGTCATTAGATGCGTAATGGCTCTGGGATGACTGCACGCTTATCAGATTTTACAAAATTAATTGTTTTAAATATTAAATTTCAGTTTTTGTAAAAATTTCGGACACGCTCTTTGTTAGGAAACAATTAGCATGCACCGGAAGTGGTGGTAGCCTATTTAATCAGGTAGAAAGCGTCGTTTTTCATTTTTTCTCATCGGGATTCGAGAGACGTATGCAGAAAGAAGAATATTATGGGATAGACAGGGCCAGGGTTGAAAAGTCGCGAAGCGGCTTTTCAACCCTGGTATTTTTATAATTTTTGATTATCGGAAGCTACTAAAAACAGTATTAAAATAAACTACAATTTTTCACTAGGGAGGTATGGGGGTACTTGCGTATTCCCGGGGGGAAGAATTCGCGGGGGGAACTTTTTGCCCACATCTCAAATTTTCCTTTATCTATTTTGCGAAAACGCGTATCTATTCAGTATACTTCCCCCATAAAGAGTTTTTATATTGTTTTTAGCAAAATGTAAGCCTATTTGAATCGGAAAAACTTTCTAAAAAATTTAGAAAAACGCTCGAATTTGGTCATTTTTGGTCGAAAAAATTGATTTTTTGACCTAAAATTAAATTTTTGAAATAAATTTTGTAAAGTTTTTATGTGTAAGAATAGCTATGAACAATTTAAAAACACTTCCACTATTTATATAAAAAATCTAGGCTTGGGCCAAAAAGTCCCCCCGGAAATACGCAAGTACCGGTTCGCAAAAAACAAAAAAAAGTTCGCAACCGTCCCCCGCTAAAATAACCGACCCCCGATAACCTGGAAGCACCCCATGTGACGTATGGATTTCTTCATTTCATTGCTTCCAGCCAGGGTCACTGAAATATCTTTTCCAGATCCGGCCTTTCTCGTCGCATGATGAGAAAAAGGGTCGTGTTCGCCGCCAAGATGACATCCCCGAGAAGATTCAATACCCACGATGCATCAATGTGGCGGGATTGGCTGTAGCTTCACAAATTCTGCACATGAAAATAGTACCATTTTAGAAAGAGGATCTGCAGAGGGTCAAGGACGACCAGTTTCTGAACTGCGACACGAACATCTTCGTGTGAACCGCCGCCGCCATGTGAAGGAGCGAATGACACTGTAGGATGTTTTCTGATCGGGTGTGATTAGGGTTGTTACGGTCCGGACCGAAACAACCCTAGGTGATGATCCCGTGTGGTTGAATACCTTTGAAAACCAATCATTGCAGAAAATCTGCACGCATCGCCATGGAGTCCCACCGGAAACGACCCCCATCCCTCCGACCACAGAAGCTGCCGCTCTATCGACTGAGACGTTGATCGGAATTGGGGCTGGTCAGACAATTTTCCTTCCTGCTGTTGATACCGTTATTCAGGAGTCGGCGGCGCGGTCCTACTGCTGGTCTGTGGTGCATTGCTGGCGTGGAAGCTCAAAAAGTAGTGCCCCTACTTGCTTTGTGCCCCCGCAATGTTGAGCTTTTAGGAAGAACTCGGAAACGGCGGAAGATCCGGAAAAGGTGGCGGAGGGCGTGGAGACGCCAGCATCGCCAGAAACCTCAGCAACCCCAGCAACGCCGGCAACGCCAGTAACGCCCGCAACGCCTCTAACGCCAGCAACGCCGCCAGCTTCCGCCGAACCAGCTCCGGTGGCCCCGTCCAAATCGACTCCGGATGTCACCGTACCTGCCCCGGCTGCTCCCGAACCACCAAAGCCGCCACCAAAACCATTTAACCCAGCCGATGGTCAATACGAACTGGTCACCACCGACTTTGAAGGAGGATTGTTTGGGCTGATGAGGAAAATGGTAGTGTGCTCGCGGTTTACGGGGACCTTGCAAGTGAAGTGCACCAGATGCACGAGGTTTCTTTTTTAAAAATAGGTGGATATTTACAGGGTGTCCCCATAAAAAACCCCTCTAATTCGACGTAGAAATTTTGGATCAAGACCATAGTTACGCCATCCGAAAGTTATTGAAACGGCGAGTCCGAAACCAACTTCGATAGCACGTTTTTATTTAAATGTGCTTTTACGAGCGATTTTGTAAAATTCTGTAAAATTTTCAGAGTTGCATACGAGCTAACTTACCGCATTAAATCGGCCCACGCTCCAGCTTGGTCTATTTCCTAAAGCGTGGATAAGGCCTCGCTGGGGGAAGAAGGCCTGTTCTTTCCCGATGGCGTTAGCCCCCTGGGCTGATTTGTTTTGTGCACGCCTGCCGCCCCCAAGGCTCGGGTTCGACCCCCAGCAGTGATAAAGCTTTTTGCTTTTTAAACCAGGTTGGGAGTTCAATGTTTCTTAAGGGATAGCGATGACCTGCGCAGATCCGGCCGACCTATAATTGGAAAGTAGCTATCTGGGCCAGGGAGGGCGACAGGGGGCGCGGAGACCCCTTTCGCTCGCTTCACCTGTTTTTGGCCGATCTACATACTAGGCCGCCCCGATCCCTGTGATATTTTTAGATGCTTTGTAAAATCGAGGGTCCAGATAAAAACATTGTTTTAAAGACTGTTACAAACTCGCTGGTTTTAAGGACTTTCGAATCGTATAACTACCATTCCGTATTGACACTTCCGCTACGAGCTAGACGGGGCTGTTTTTGATTGGGACACTCTGTAGTCACTGCAGCCAGTGGTGACAAGAGCGTCACTGCTGAGTTGCTTGTCGGCGCTTTTTAGCTGTGCGGTTTTCGAAATTTCCACCGCCAAACAGATTGCACGCCACAAGGCCAGCCCCAACGGCGTCGCTCGGTTCATTTGAGTCGTTTGACCGATGTGTTTAGACGGATATCTTCAACGCTGATGTCAGCCTCGCCATCAAGGTCGGCCTTACCGAAAAGCCAGTTCGCCGGGGTCACTCGGTCAGTTGCTCCAAGATCTGTGACGGGCATCTGTCCGCGGACATCGTACGACCGTTCCCAATGCATTACCATTACCACACATTCATCCATTCATTCATTCATTTAGATAGCACCGCGCGTGCGCAACCCCAGGCCCGGCACCTATGAACTGACGGACAAGGGCCATGCGCTGCGTATCGACGTCGAGAAACTGGTGAGTGGATTTCCATTAAAAGGCCGATGTATTATATTTTTTTTACGGAACCAAGCCTATTCGGTGCCGAATTTTAGGCTTAATTGCGTTTGCCCCCCCCCCCCGCCAAGCCGACGCCGACTTACCGTATCTCGGCTCCCCGTTATTATACCGGGTAGTTAAGTATACCAAAATACTCACCAGAGCAAGGCGAAAATTTTGGTATACTTTACGCACCTGTAGACCAACAGGGAGCCGAGATGCCAAATTGGGTACTGGCTGGGGGGGTCAGACAATTCAAATTTGTTGACTTCCAAGGAGGACCTTGCCAAACCACCTTTCAGAGAGCATGGAAATCGGCACACCCAAAGAAGCCCGACCGCCGACCGTACACCTGGGACGTTGGCATGGAACCCGGCGGCACGAGGGGCGCATTGCATATCCTCGAAAAGTTGAACAGTGAACAATATCTCTCGGAAGACAATGAAGGGGTATCATTTCGGTATACATATACTAGCTGTCAAAAATATGTATATCTCTCTGTCTCTCTCTGTCTCTCGCCTCTTGCTCCCTTCTCTCTCTCGCTCTTTATCTACCGATCTCTATGTCTCGCTCTTTGTCTCTCTTTCTCTCTCTCTCTCTTTCTCTCTCCTCTTTCCCCCCCCCCCCCCCCCGCTTTCTCCCGGGAAACCGTTTGGTCCTAGGGTTGATATCAAAATGGATGCCAGTTTTCGTTGTAGGGCCACGGTTCTTTAGCGGTTCTACAGAACGCATAGTAGATTTTTTGATGCTCCATCCGATAGCGTTAACAGAATGTCGAAAAGTATCGAAATCCCGAAAAATAGCTCAGGGTCATTTCTGCTTCTATGACAGCTTTCTTAAATTCTTGTATTTTGACCAGAATGAAAATTCTTGGCATATTTTGGATGCTCTACCGGGCCGCGATGATGGAGTCGCCAAAAAATGAAATATTGGAAAACTTCCGACATTAAACTCCCTTCCACAGCTAACCCCCCCCGCTAATGAACTAGAACCCCGTTTTTCCTATTTCTAAACCAAAAACTATATCACACCGCATTCAGCCCATCTACACTCCGGACGCCCATCACCTGCGGGCCCTTGTCGACGACCTGGGCGTGGAGATGCTCGAAGCTAAAGCAGTTATCAAGACGGATCTACAAACACTCGTCGTTGGGGACATCTATGGCAATGTGGGCGCTAAAGCGCGCAAAAAATTCATAATGCCGAAATTTCAGATTGTCCAAATTTCTTAAAAGGATACCCAAGGTTTTTGGGTCCAAATCCATAACTTTATATTTTCCCGACTCGCCCCTCCCTGACCTGTGAAGGGTGGCCCCTGCCCGGACCAATGGCTGGCTCCATGGGGTAATGGATAGCGTCCGGGCCTATGAGTTGCGGGGCCCGGGTTCGACTCCCGGCCGCGACAGCCGTTTTGCTTTTTCAGGCCCGAAAAGGTTGGGTATCCCTTTAATGTCGCGGCTTTTTTTCCATGGGGAACCCCCGAATCCCATGCAAAAAGTTCCGACATACGGAATTTTGACATTATGAAATTTCGACATGAAGAATTCGGAAAGCATGATTTTCGGCATGACAGCAAATCCAAAAAAATTCGTCCGGCGGCATTGGGCCGCCTCAAATTCCGATACGCCGGTACATCGCGTACATCGGTACATCCGGTGGTTCTGGTTCATTAGCGGGGGGTGCAGTTGTCAAGGCTAGTTTATGTTCTCTGCCGATTTCAAAATTCCCGGATTGTGTTCGAATGTTAAGTGAAAAAGAGTAAGAAAAACTGTGCGATCTGGCTATAAGTCAGGATTGTGGTTATTTAGGGCCTGGTATACCTCCAGTCCAATTTTGAGACTGTTGGAATGTAATACGGCGAAATGCCGGAAGGGTGCTTTTTTTGGAACACCCTGTAATAGTAATTGTAGAAGTTTTTCAGATGAACTGGGCACGAAAAATATCAAAAATCGAGCAAAACATTCTGAATTTTCGAACATAAAAATTTCGCTTTCAGTTCAACGACCTTTGGCGCATCTTCCATTACTGGCTGTCGCGGATGAGCGAAAAAGGGCCCGAAATCAAGTAGCTTTTGGAGGATTTTGTGAACGCTTGGATGCTTAAGCATCCTCTTCCTTGGTGGCATAATCGATCGTGGACCCCGTCAAATTGAATGCTTGGCCTTGATCCTCAGCTTCCGGACGCTTTTCCGCAGCAGGGTACGGTTTGGCAAGCGTGCAATTCCTAAAACTAAGTCTGACAAGGGAAGGGCACGTGGACGAAGTGGAGTTTCGCAAAACCCTCGCGGCTACCCCCGGGTAATCGACTATGGAGAACACGATGCCGTTGTCCGATTTTCCTGCGGAGGCCTGTGGACAGAGATACAGCACTTCCCAAAAATGACGATTTGCATACGAAAAATTAGAATCCGGGGGAAGCTTTATTAGGCTCGCTCATCAGTATGGAATCACCGGTCGAATGGTCGATTGGTAAGCAACTAGCTTGATAGGATACTGACGAGGGTACGGATCCCCTCACGATTTTTTCGTTTTGCTTTTTGACAGGAACTTTTTGCACAAGTCCAGAATTTCCTTGACTTCGACAAAATTTTTTAGAGTGATGAATATCATAGATTTAGCTATCCCACCAAAAAAATTAAAAATTAAAAAATATTCGCGCGAATGGGCATCCATCCTCCCATTAGGTGAAAGTTTCCTAAAGTTTGTGAAAGTATTTTAGATTTGGTCCCCCTGCAATAACGTACGTATTAATTAAAAATTTACAGTTATCGCGGCAAAAATAGCAATGAAACCTTGTTCGAAAACCACTGGTCAAAAAGCAAAACGAAAAAAGCGTGAGAGGATCCGTACCCTCGTCAGTAAACTATCAAGCGAGTTGCTTACCAATCGATCATTCGACCGGTGATTCCATACTGACGAGCGAGCCTAATAAAGCTTCCCCCGGATTCTAATTTTTCGCATGCAAATCGTCATTTTCCGGAAGTGCTGTATCTCTGTCCACAGGCCTCCGCAGGAAAATCGGACAACGGCATCGTGTTCTCCACAGTCGATTACCCGGGGGTAGCCGCGAGGGTTTTGCGAAACTCCACTTCGTCCACGTGCCCTTCCCTTGTGAGCCTGTCTAAGTCTATGTGAAGCCTAAGCCTAAGCCTTAGTCTAAGCCAAACCGATGCCTAAGCCTAAGGCTAGCCTTTGCCCCAAACCTAAGCTGAAGCCTGAGGCGAATCCTAATCCTAAGCACTTACATGTAGAGGTTGTGAGGTCACAGTCTCCAAAACGGCTCAAAATTGGTGGAAAAATAAAATAAAATACGGGGAACACGATGCGATAAAAAAATGGCTACCAATGGGCACTTTTGTTTCATAAACTTTAGTTTTCCACCAGGGTTGAAAAGTCGCTTCGCGGCTTTTTAACCCTGGCCCCGTCTGATCTCACGATATACTTAACTTTGCATAATTCTTGGATTTCCGATGACAAAAAAATGAAAATTGCGCTCTCTACCCCATTATATAGGCCACCGGGACTTCCGGAGCATGCTAATTTTTTCT